GGCTATGCTACATGCTTGTGCATTGATTTTGGGGGTTCTTGGGATCAGTTTCTGCCACTCGCGGAGTTTGCTTATAATAACAGTTACCAGTCAAGCATTCAGATGGCTCCATATGAGGATTTATATGGGAGACGGTGCCGATCTCCGGTGGGTTGGTTTGAGTCAGGTGAGGCTATTGGGTACTGACTTGGTTCAGGATGCTTTGGAGAAGGTTAAATTGATTCCGGAGTGGCTTCGCACGACGCAGTCTAGACAGAAGAGTTATGCCGACAGAAAGGTCTGTGATGTTGCTTACATGGTTGGGGAGAAGGTTCTACTCAAGATTTCACCCATGAAGGGTGTGTTGAGGTTCGGAAAGAAGGGCAAGTTGAGTCCTAGGTATATTGGGCCTTTTGAAATACTTAAGAAGATTGGAGATGTGGCTTATGAACTTGTTTTGCCACCTAGTCTATCGGGTGTTCATCCAGTGTTTCATGTATCTATGCTTCGAAAGTACGTTGGAGATCCATATCATGTTTTGGATTTCAGCACAGTGCAGTTGGATGGTAATTTGACTTAAAATGTGGAGCGGTGGCCATTTTAGACTGGCAGGTTCGAAAGCTGAGATCAAAGAATATAGCTTTAGTGAAAGTGCAGTGGAGTGGCTAGTCAGTCAGAGAAGCTACTTGGGAGATTGAGCGGGAGATGCGGAGCAAATATACACACCTATTTGGGGCTCCATGTATGATTCTAAACCCGTTCGAAGACGAACACTTGTTTAAGAGGGGGAGAATGTAACGACCTGGCCGGTCTTTTTGATTATTACACCCTCGTTTCTCTATTTACTACTCAATTTATGATTTACAGTTGTTTTATGACTTACCGGGTTAGTTGGTTTGGGTTCGGAAGGATTTCGGAGTAAATTGAGACACTTAGTATCATAATTGTAAACTTAAGTTGGAAAAATTGAACGGATGTTGACTTATGTGTAAACGATCCCAGATTTCAATTTTTGATGGTTATGTTAGCTTCGTTGGGTGAATTTGGATTTAGGAGCGTGTCCAGATTATGATTTGGAGGTCCGTAGTGGAATTAAGCTTGGAATGGCCAAAGTTTATTTTCTGGGAAGTTTGATCGGGGAGTTGACTTTTTTATATCGGGGTTGGAATCCGATTATAGAAATTGGAACCGGTCCGTTATGTCATTTATGACTTGTGTGCAAAATTTGAGATCAATCGGACTTGATTTGATAGGTTTCGACATCGGTTGTTGAAGTTGGAATTTCTTAGTTTCATTAGGCTTGAATTGGGGGTATGATTTGTGTTTTTAGCGTTGTTTGATGTGATTTGAGGGTTCAACTAAGTTCATATGATGTTTTAGGACCTGATAGTATATTTGGTTGAGGTCCCGGGGGGCTCGGGTGAGTTTTGGATGGTTAACGGATTGAAATTTGACTTGGAACTTTGCTGGAATTTTCTGATGCACTGTCTGGTTTCCTTCTTCGCATTCGTGAGAGGGGTCTCACGTTCGTGAAGAAGAACTGAAGGCAGGCGAGTTTGTTCTTCGTGTTCGTGACAAAAGGACCGCGTTCGCGAAGGGTTGATCCAGTGTTCATCGTGAACGCGTGATGGCGTTCGCGTAGAAGGTTTGGGGACATTGGAATGTAAAGCTTTGCAATCGCGAAGGGTAGCTCACATTTGCGATGGAAAAGCTTGGTAAAGAATCGCGTTCGTGAGGTTTTCTTCGCGTTCTCGAAGAAGAAACTCGGGAAGAACAAAAAAAATGTGCTTCGCGAACGCGAGGGTGTTGTCGCGTTCGCGAAGAAGAAACCACTGGACAAAAAGTTTAAGTTCTCCATTTTTACCGATTTGGAGCTCGGAGAGAGTCAGTTTTTGGGAGACTTTCAAGAAAAATAATGGGGTAAGTGTTCTTCACTCAATATTGGTTAAAATACCCGAATCCATAGTTATTTTTAATATTTAATGGGTGAATTAAGTTGGAAAATTTAGAAGACCCTCTTGGTTTAATTTGAAGATTTGAGAGTTGAGTTGATGTAAGAATTAGGTAAAATTGGTATGGTTAGACTCATGGTTGAATGAGCTTTCGAATTTTATAACTTTTGTCGGGTTCCGAGATGTGGGGCCCACCGTCGAATTTTGAGTTAAATTTTGAATTTTTGTTGGAAAATTTGTATTTTCATATGTTTGTTCCTATAATTTGTATTGACTGAATCGAATTAATTGTGACTAGATTCGAGCCGATCGGAGTCGGAAAATCGAGGTAAAGGCATTCTTATTAATTGATTGAGCTTAGCTTGAGGTAAGTGGCTTGTCTAACCCAGTGTGGGGGAAATCCTCTTAGGATTTGATATTGTTGTAAAAGTTTGTGATATGTGAGCACCGTGTACGCGAGGTAGTAAATTCTTTAACTGAGTTGCTTTAGTATATGTAGTAATCATGTTTAGTCTAGTATCACATGTCTACGTGCCTTAACTCTTACTTGCAATATGTGCAACATGCTTAGCTGAATTACCTGCTTATTTGATTTGATTTAAATCTTTAACTGTGAGATTCTTGCTGTAAATGCGTTGTTTCCTTCGGATATCTGTTGCATATTTACTTTGGGACTACGAGGCGGTTCCTCAGGAGATCCCCCTGTACTGCATATTTACTTTTGGGACTACGAGACGGTTCTTCGGGGGTTCCCCCTATACTGCATATTTACTTTTGGGACTACGAGGTAGTTCTTTGGGAGATCCCCATACATTGCACATTTACTTTTGGGACTACGAGGTGGTACCTCGGGAGCGTCCCTGTTGTTTACCTCCATTTGTTGTGTTGTTCACTTCTCAGTCATTTTGTTATATTATTATATCCCCTGTCTTACTTTTCTATTATTTGCAGTAGGGTCTGACCTGACCTCGTCACTACTCTATCGAGCTTAGGCTTGGCACTTATAGGGTACCGCTGTGGAGTACTCATACTACGCTTCTGCATATCGTTTTGTGCGGATCCAGCTACTTCTTACCAGCCCAGATATCAGTGAGCTACCTATGTGCAGAGACTTCAATGTACATCTGCCAGCGTCCACAGACCTCGGAGTCCCTCTCTATCCATATCATGTTGTTTTCCTTATTTTAGTAGACTCTGATGTATAGAGACATTAGTATTTCTCTTAGAAGCTTGTGACTTGTTTCTATCGGGTTTTGGGAGATTGTAGTTCTTTGACTTGCAGTTTTCATTTATTATAACTATTGAGGTTTGAGTTTCTTATTATGTTATTCCATAATTTGTTAAGGCTTACCTTGTCTTAGAGACTAGGTGCCATCACGACATCCTACGGAGGGTGAATTAGGGTTGTGACACGTCAAGAGTCTTACTCGCATAGTAGATGGAATAAAACATCTTGTCCTTCCTCTGTCCTAGCACTGCCCCAATAGCATGGTCACTTGCATCACACATAAGTTCAAATTCTAAGGACCAATCCGGTGCCGCAATAATGGGAGCAGCCACCAACGTCTTTTTGATCTCTTCAGGCAGGCGTCATCAAACTTGGAAGTTATATCATTTTCAAGCAACTTGCACAAAGGAGTAGAAATTTTAGAAAACTCTTTAATAAAGCGTCGATAGAACCCCGCGTGTCCCAAGAAACTCCGGACACCCTTCACAGAAATGGGTGGAGGTAATTTTTCAACTGCCTCCATCTTCGCCTTATCAACTTTAATTCCGCTCCAAGACACTCTGTGACCCAACACGATGCCTTCCTGTACCATAAAATGGCACTTTTCCCAATTCAACAATAAATTTGTTTCTTCACAGCGGGCTAACACCTTGCTCAAATTCTTCAAATAGCCATCATAAGAAGGCCCAAAGACTAAAAAATCATCCATAAAGACTTCCACAAATATTTCCACCATATCGGTGAAAATAGCCATCATGCATCTCTGGAAAGTGGTTGGTGCATTACAAAGACCAAACGGCATTCGCTTGAAGGTGAAAGTTCCATAAGGGAAAGTGAAAGTGGTCTTCTCCTGATCCTCTAGGCATATGACAATCTGGTTGTACCCAGAATAACCATCAAGGAAGCAATAATATTCATGCCCCGCCAATCTATCCAACATTTGGTCAATGAATGGAAGTGGGAAGTGGTCCTTGTGGGTTGCTTTGTTGAGCCTTCTGTAATCAATGCAAACTCTCCACCCCGTCACAGTGCGAGTAGGAATTTGCTCATTTTTCTCATTCTCAACCACAGTCATCCCTCCCTTTTTAGGCACACATTGTACTAGGCTTACCTAGTTGTTATCAGAGATAGGAAAGATGATACACGCATCTAGCCACTTAATTACTTCCTTCTTCAGAACTTCTTTCATGATGGGATTTAATATCCATTGCTTCTCAACACTGGGGTGGTGTCCATCTTCCAGAAAGATTTTATGCATGCAAAACGATGGACTAATTCCCTTGATGTCAGCAATTGTCCACCCTATAGCCGTTTTTATGCTTGCGAATTACTCTGAGCAATTTTTCTTCTTGTATATTAGTTAAGCTGGATGAGATAATCACTAGAAATGTCTCAGAGTTCCCCAAATAAGCATAGCACAGATGCGCTGGAAGGGGCTTTAGTTCTAGCTTTGGAGCTTCTTCAATGGATGGCTTAGGAGGGGTTAGAGTGACAGGCCTGCCCAACTCCTCAAATCTCCCAAACCCATGGACATAGCTGCAAGACATGTCAAGTACTTGCTCAATTTCTCCCATCATCTCATCTTCACTGTCTTCTCCATCCCCAATCAAGGCTCGTTCAAGAGGATCTATGGGGCTCATATAAGGCACCAATGACGTAGCATCACTTTCCACTAGAGAAATCATGGATAACTCTTCATAGTAGGCTGGCAATCGGAGTGCTTTATACACATTAAATACCTCCACTCGATTCCCTACTCTCATCATCATCTTTCCTTCACATACATCAATAATCGCTCGGGTCGTGGCTAAAAATGGACGCCCCAAAATAAATGGGACTTCCTAATAAGGCTCGTAATCCAAGATAATGAAATTAGCAGGGAATATGAAAGAACCCACTAGAACTAACACATCTTCAATCACTCCTTCAGGACGAGCAAGGGAGCGATCAACCAACTGTAAGATTACCGTTGTTGGACGCAACTCACCCAACCCCAATTGTCTGAACACAGACAACAACATCAAATTGATGCTCGCTCCAAGATCACACAAAGCTCGCTCGACTGCATGCTTACCAATCGAGATTTGGATAGTGAAACTATCCAAATCATTCAATTTCTGAGGTAGCTTGCTTTGAATTCTTGAGCTACATTCCTCAGTGAGTGCCACAGTCTCGAATTCGGTCAACCTCCATTTATTTGCCACTATGTCCTTGATGTATTTTGCATATTTGGGCACTTCTTGCAGGATGTCTACTAGCGGAATATTGATTTGCACCTGCTTCAAAATATCAAGAAACTTTTTATATACGGAATTATCCTTCACTTTTTCAATCTTTGAGGGAACGGAGGTGGTGGCTTTGCAACTAATAGTGGGGGTTGCTTAGTCACCGCCTATTCAGCTGGCTTCTCTAACTTCTTTGATTTTTATGATTCTGACTCTATAGTGGCCGGCTTCTCATTAAAAATCACATGTTTTCTGTTTTTCGACTGGACTTCTTCTAACTGTCTCCCATTCCTCAATGACACAACATTAATAGATGATTTAGGATTAGCCTCAGTGTCGCTTGGAATAGGTCCAAGTGTTCGAGTATTTTGGGCACTAGCAAGTTGTCCCAATTGTCACACCAAATTTCTCATTGCTGTTGCTTGGTCCTGCTGGTCAGTCATCACTCTTTTCATCATCTATGATGTTTGGGCATGCTGGTCAGCCATCAATTTCTTCATCATTTCCTCAAGGTGACTTGTTGAGTTTACATGTTGTTCAGCCTAAGGTGGTCTATATTGTTGTTGAAGTGCTTGTTGTTGGTATTGATTCTGAGCACCTTGGTTTCCACCCGAAGAGAAGTTGGGTGGTTCCTCCAGTTGGGATTATAAGTATTCACATACTGGTTTATTTTGCCCCTATTTATATTACCCACAAAACAGACAGACTCATGATAAACTGGGCATAAGTCACTCGTATGACCCTCTCCACATACTTCACATAACAATTGAACCTGTTGCACTGGCTGGGCTTGTTGCTTGTTAATAACCAAGGCCATCTCATTGACATGGTTGGTCAATGTGGAAATGTGCGTTGATAATGTCGAGATGACATCTAACTCGAGAACCCCTGTAGATTTTTGCACTGTGTGTCTGCCTATCTCTCCTTGCCAATCAGGATTGCTTTTGGCGAATTTGTTCAATAACACATATATATCACCAAAGCTTTTCTCCAACACTTGACCTCCAGCTGCAGCATCTACCACAATATTTGTCTCAAGATGTAACCCTTCTATGAAAGTGTGAGCTAACACTGCATTTGTCTGATTGTGATGAGGACAGTCTCTGAGCAGTCCCTTGAACCTCTCCCAAGCTGAGTATAAAGACTCCCCCGCTTTCTGTTTGTAGGAGACTATCTCACTTCTGATCTTTGCAGGTTTACCTGAAGGGAAGAACCTTGCCAAAACTTTTCTTGCCAGATCATTCCATGATGTAATAGAATTGGTTCTGCCTTCAGCCATTGCTACGCTTTACCGAACAGAGAGAACGGGAAAAGTGTGAGCCTTACATAGCCTGGGGTGACTCCGTTAGTGATATAAGTATCACTAATCTCTAAGAAATTCAGGATATGTTGTTGTGGATCCTCGTGTGGAAGATCCATTAACTGCCCATTCGCATGAAGTAGCTGGATCATGCTCTGTTTCAGCTCAAAGTGCCCAGTGATTCTAGGCTTCACAATGTTGGAGGTGACATTAGCAATGCTGGGCATTGCCACCTCCTGAACAGCCATATGTTGCTCCTCTTCCATGTTCACAGGAAATTGAACAAGTGCCTGAAACTTATTTGTGTCCCTTGCTTCCCTCAACCTCCTATGAAATGTTCTCTCAGGTTCGGGGTCAAAGCCTTGAAGTCTGTCCTGGCTTCTGATCATTCGCATTCAATTAATGTTCCTAAGAGCAGAGCAACAATCAAGTAACGTTAGACATGATGAAATAAATAATTAAAGCAAAAACTAGAAAGTACTCAATATTCAAGTCCCCAGCAACGGCGCCAAAAATTTGTTGCTCCCTAATGCACACGCAAGTATACGTAGTCGTACAAGTAATAAAATGATAAGTCGAATGTCGAACCCATAGAGACTTGTATCAACCAACCACTAAATTCACCAAGGTTGTTATTCATTCGAGCCAATTCGAGTTCAAGAGTGTGATTATACTAAATAATAACTAAATTATCAAGCAGCAAAATGATTGTTGTGTATTCAGTAAAGACAATATTCCAGGGTTGTGATCGATTCACCAATCCTATTGTGTTCTAGTTAACTCTCCCTTTCATACAATTCACCCGTGGTTGTTAATTAATCGAACAATTTCTCTCGTAGCCTTCTCCCGAAGTACTACTCGCATATTCAAAATAGATTAACACCTATATTCCTATGAAATCAATCTATTAAGAACGCATTAAGATTACGATATTTAATTAAGCACGGTGACTAGGTATATTCCTATCCTACCACAAATCCCCCCACCCCCCAGAGTTAAGATCGTACTCTCTTCAATTCTTCTCTAATCTAAACATGGATTTCCCGAGCATAGCATAGATAATAAATAGAACCTAACTGCTGGCTAGACAATTAAGCAATTCATCACAGAATTAAAAAAATAATCATATATTGATGAATTGTAATCAAGGTTAAGTCAACGTTAAACAACAATATTCATGGCTAAATCACAACCCCAGAACTATGAGTTTTAGCCACTCATGAAGGTATGAAACAAATTCATAAGTGTTGGATAATTGAAAATACTAAGAAAAGATGAAGAAAACTGAGATCTCCTCGCTCCCGGATATTCCTTGTGTGTATTCTCCCTCCAAAGTGGCGTCCCCCTCTAAAAATAAGCTTAGTCTTGCTTTTATACGTGTTGGGTAGGTCTAGGGCCGAAATAACCTTGTCCGGGGCAAACTTGGACAACTCCCCCGTCACCAGCATCCAGCCCAGCGCCCCACGCTGAACCTGGCGCTAGCTAGTAAAAGTTTTTGCCACTGGCGCCACAGGTGGTGTGGAGCGCTGCCTGTGGCGCTGAAAATTCAATTTTTCCCGTTTTTCTCCGTTTTGGCTCTAATCTCGCACCTTTCTCCCCCAATTTCTTCTGAATGATTCCTACACATAAAAGCACCCCAAATTAATATAACTCAACACATTTTACATCTGAAATCTACGAAACACGAGTAAAACATGAGGCGATATACATATAAATATATATACTTTAAGCTAAATATTAGCAGGCAACAAGTTAAGTTCGGTGGTGTGTGACTCGATCCACCTCCAAGAAATTTGTGCCATACGACCCAGAATTGGATAAGCTACCTGTGGCAGTTAAGAAAGGATAAAGAATCGAGCGGATCAATCTTGGGGCAGACTTCGACTCAAGAAAAGATGGTGCACCAGGAAGATGAGGGGGTGGACTTAGCTGCAAGAGAAGCGGCATGACAAAGAGAATTAGTTGCACAGGTAGCAGCATCAGCAGCCCTTAGAGCTGCTGATGAGGCTGTCAAATGGGATGGGGATCGAACATTCAATCTATATCGACTGATGGTTAAAAGACGAGTTTGAAAATGCTGTAAGAACTCTTATTATATTAGCATTGAGACAAATCTGACCTTTTTGTTATGAGAAAAGTCTAATTCATGATCTCTATAGCTACTCCATAATTTTAAATTAATATTTGAACTCTTTATGACTCCCCTATCGTATAAACGGAAAAAGCTTCAGCATATAGCGCAATAGATTCCTATAGCCAAGGTATCTATAACAAAATAGTATATATTTAATTCTGACTGGTACAAAACTATAGGGAGTGAGTATTTCTATTATCGAAAATTTGTCAGTCACACGTGTCTCTAACGGGCTATGACTTCTAATATATTATTCCCGTATATGATTTGCATTCACAACACTAAACAAGAAGTAACTATCACCTAAAGGATGGTTTGTAATACCCCTCTACGTACATTACTGCTAACTAGTAACATTCAGCACACTTGAATAGAAATAAACATGATGGACACCTTTAAACACGTACTAACATTGCAAATAGGAGAATTCACATATACTTTGAAGAATATTGTAGTTGAGAGTACATCCAGTGACAAGACTTCAAAATCAAATTAGGAGAATGAGACTATTGAGTTAATTTTCACTGCCTAATAAGCAATGTGATGTTGTTGCCATGGCTTTTGTAGTCCTCTTTTTGCAAAATAGTTGTTCATATTTTAGGTTGCAAATACCCTTTCTTGTTCGATAAATCTTCAGATAATGGTACATTAACTGCCAGCTAAATTTATTTCCCTTGTCCCCAATAAATATAAAGAAAGTTAAAATGGACCAGAATGACTTTCATGATTTACTATGTTTTTTAAATATCCACATAACCAAAACATTTAGAGTGAAGTTGTAGCCTAAGCTAGCGTTTGGACATATATTGTTTGAATCTTGAAAAGAAAATTGAAGTTTACTTTTTAGAAGTTGAAGTTATGTTTGGACATGCATTTTACTTGAAAAAAGGATGAAGTTATGTTGAAAAATAATTTTTAGAAGTTGAAGTTGTGTTTGGATATGCATTTTACTTGAAAACAATTGAAGTTTTGTGAGCGAAAGAAAAAATTTCAACCAAAAGCTCGCACAAACCAATTTTCGGAACCAAAAATTTTCATCAGTTGTTTTTCAAAAAATAATTAAATTCTATGAACAAACAATGTTTTCAATTTTTTTTTTTTCTGAAAAAAAAAAAAAAAATCTATGTTTAAACGGGAGCTAAATATTCTAACTTCACTTGCACACGATGCAAGGTTGAAATCTCATCAAGGGTCTTTTCTCTTCTTTCTGCTTTTTTGCGATTCATGAGAAGAAAAAGATAATAAAAAGCAACAGCAGTATTTCTTTTTCCCAATTCTCTCATATACCTGCTAATTTTCTCAATATACCTCCCATTAGAGCCCTAAGTATATTTTTCTGCTATTAGGGGCTATAAGAAAATCTCTTATTAACAAATTTGTATTCTTTTCCTTTAAAAAAAAAACATTAAGCTTGCCTTTCTTCTATAGGGTCTGAAGACAACCTTTAAGAGGTACTTGTATACGGGTAAAATCGGGGGCAATGTCTACCCCGATGAGAGAACGAAGGGGGAGCACATGCCCGGGTTTTGCAGTCGAGGTCAAAGACCCTTCGTATCAAGACCCAAGAAGGGTGAACGGTATATCCAACACCAGACGTGGAAACGTGACGCGCCCGGGCGGTGTGTAAGTTCTAGACCTCGGGAGACGCGCTAAACGGTTATGCATGACAGATAGAGGGCCGTGATACCCGCCTTCAATCGAATATCACGTCGTGAATCTCGCTCGATGTCGATTATGGATCGACATTTATCAAAAAAAAAAAGATTTTTACCTTTAGACTTTTACTAAGACTGAAACTCTTCTACTACATAAAGAGAAAGTTTTTCTTTAGTATGACATATTGTAGCACGCAATTCAAGGAATAAAAGTTTATTTTTACCTTTTAGCTACTGTTGAGAACTTTGTTTACTTGTTCTATTCTTCATTCACTCTTGGGCTCGAACCGAGGGTCCAATCGAGGATGGGATCACCGCTCAATTTAAGATTAGGCTTGTTCATAACATCAAGATTGGTTTGATCGTTTCTTTCATCTTTAATTCATTTATCTGCTATTCTAAATTATTCGTGTTGAATTAAACTATGTATCTTTTAAATCACGTGCAAATTCAATTGTTACTCAATTTTGGGGTAAACGGTTTGGCGCCCACCGTGGGGCTAAGGATAATAGTGATAATTTAATACGAATCTCCATAACACACCCTATTTTACACTTGTTCTTTGAAATCTTAATTCCAGGTCAATCTAAAAATGTCAAATTCTCAGTCTGCTCATTTGAACGTTGACACTGAGTCGGGCCATCATGATGAAAATAATAACATGGTGCTCACTAATGATGTGCTTCCCACCGATCCCAACGATGTCCCAGCCATCGACCCGGTCAGTGCAACTAATAGGGTACCTATTTAATTACTAAAGATCATATTCTTTATTAGTCTGCTAACCGGTGAGATTATGGATAAGGGTTCTTGTTCTTCTAAGGGGAAGGTGTTAGACACCCCTTAAAATCTACCTGAGGGAGCTCCATAGGACTTAGACTAGGTTTGGGACTAATTGTTTGTACTATACCTTAATTAGTGTTCAGAAGTGTAGCTTATCATATATTAGGATATAATATCTATAAGGGGAGAGTATGGTTCAAAGAGGATGGATTTAATGAAAAGCCTTTAAAAAAATAATGTTAGTATATATAAACTTGAAAAGGGACTTTGAAAAATGGAACATTTGTTATGAAAACGTTTTAAAAAGAAGCTTAAGTTAGTGCACTTTGTTTGAGTTTTTAGCCAAAATTGTCCCTTATCTTTGGGGTTAAGTCTAACTTTATCCTTTATCTGATGCCATCAATACT